GTATGTGTATCTCCATATGTCCATGTGTATGTGTATCTCTCACGTGACTAGGTACAATTTAAGGCAGAGACAGAAATAGCAGAGGTAAGTGAAGGGGACAAGAGACAGTGAGGATGCGTGTAAGTATCACAGCACACTGCACGCCTCCACAACGCCCTAGCGGCGCGGTGGGCGGCGTACCTTGGTCCGCGGGCGCACTGGAGCGCCCACGAGCGGGAGGCACGGGCGGCAGGCCGTGTGGGGCATCGCCGGCCGTTAGGAATCGTTCGCGCTGGGCAGGAGCTGGCTCGCCCTCCCCGATATCGATGTCGCTGGCCACCAGCGAGAAGGCGGGGCCTAGGGCAGCCAGGCAGAGTCAGTGGGTGCCCACGCGGCCCGGGCCGGCGTGGTCCGCCAAGGCCACTCTTAGCAAATCAAAACCTCACATCGGCCCTTCTTTCACGTGCCCAGAGAAGGCTGTCCAACCCCTTAATTGTATAACTCCCATTTCCCAAGAAAGCATAAAAAAGATTTTGCGCACATTTAAAACCATTACAACTAAATATCTACTCGTATATGATATATACATACAAAATATAAACACACGCACACACACATACACAGTAGGTACGCGTGAATGTACAAAGAAAATAATCCCCGCAGGAACCTGTATCGGCGAGTGGTAGAAAAGCAAATAAATCTGAGTCCATCCCTCTTCTCGCCTTCGCCTTTCCGGCCACGTCCGCACTCGCATTAACGATACATTCCCATTCCGACTCCTCGCGCCTCCTCTTCCTCGAGTGCTGTAGAGGTGACCGGCTGGGGACAGAGCGCCGTGTACACTAGAGCCTTCGAACGCAAGTCACATCTTTATATCACTCGCGTCACGTGATTTACCTGAACACCCCTTGTAAGCGCAATAAGCCGCAAGTCTACGGTGTTTTCATCGCGTTTCGATATGTTCGACTCGACATTATCCTCGCGAAGTCAATTAAATACGCAGCTCTGCATAATCTTCAATACCGAATCATTCCTTCAACGCTCCTAAAACCGGCCTCTTCTAAAGGCCCGAGCGATGGATATTCTTGCGGATTCCCATGAATAAATGTATGTATGTGCGTATGTGTGTATGCATGTGCGTATGTATGTGTGTGCGTGTGTGTGTATGTGTGTGCGTGTGTGTGTATGTGGGTGCGTGTGTGTGAGAGAGAGAAAGAGAGAGAGGGCCAGCGTCGTGCCCCTCCTCGCAGCCCATCGCCTGACGGCGCCCAAAGACAAAGCCCGAGAGAAAAGGGCGTCGTTTCACCCAGGCGAACAATATCCAGCACAAGAGACGAGACACGATCCTCAAAGAGAAGTTCAAATCACTCTCTCAAACGCCAGCGAGGAGGAGGAGGAGGAGGAAGAAGAGGAGGTAAACAGTTAGAAGGGAGTAAGAGAAAAGGAGACAGGACAATCAAACCGTACCACTGGCGCTGCCAAACCCCTGAACACATGCACATCAAGCACACGTGCATAAATGCACACGTACATCACACACACACACACACACACACACACACACACACACACACACACACACACACACACACACACACACACATTTGTTCTCATCCATTATAGGTTCATGACGTCATCACCATTTCCCCAAAGACACCATTTCCATCTACATGTAAATGACATCACCATCTCAGGAAGAATGCCCTCTCGGCGCAGAACAAAAACAAACAAAAACGGGAAGACACACACACACAAAACGGGAAAACAAGAAATCGGGAAGACACAAAAACGGGAAAAAATTAGGAAAAGAGGGAAGACAAAAAACAGGAAGACGCAAAAAACAGAAGAAGAAGAAGAAGAAAAACGAAAAACGAGACAACAACAACAACAAAAAACGGGAAGACAAACAAACCGGGAAGACACAAATATGACAAGCCAAGGGGCCCAGGGAAGTCCGGCAGCGAAGAGGCAGGGGCGCGCACGAGATAACGCACTGCCCCCAATCCTTCCCTCGACGCCAATCTGTGAATCTAAATCCGGCGATCAGCAAATCAGGGCCTTATCGGGGGTGACATCGCCGTTCGCCGCACAAGACTTCGTGGCCGACGCGTCCTTCACCTTGGCATATTGATCTCCCTCCCTCCCTTCCTCTCCCTCTCCCTAACCCAAACTCTCTCTTCCACTCTCTCCCTCTCCCTCTCTCTTTTTCTCTTCCCCACCCTCTCCTTTTCCCTCTCTCTCTCCTCCTCTTTCCTCCTCCCTCTCCCACTCTCTCCTTTTCCCTCTCCCCACTCTCTCCTTTTCTTCCCCACTCTCTCCTTTCTCCCTCTCCCCCACTCTCTCCTTTTCCCTCTCCCCCACTCTCTCCTTTTCCTCTCCCCCCACTCTCTCCTTTTCCCTCTCCCCCACTCTCTCCTTTTCCCTCTCCCCCACTCTCTCCTTTTCCCTCTCCCCACTCTCTCCTTTTCCTCTCTCTCCTTTTCCCTCTCCACCACTTCTCTCCCTCTCATCCCCTCTCCACCACTCTCTCATTTTCCCTCTCTCTCTCTCTCTTCTCTCTCCCTCTCCACCACTCTCTCCTTTTCCCTCTCCCCCACTCTCTCCTTTTCCCTCTCCCCCACTATCTCCTTTCCCTCTCCTCCTTTTCCCTCTCCCCACTCTCTCCTTTTCCCTCTCCCCCACTCTCTCCTTTTCCCTCTCCCCCACTCTCTCCTTTTCCCTCTCCCCACTCTCTCCTTTTCCCTCTCCCCCACTCTCTCCTTTTCCCTCTCCCCCACTCTCTCCTTTTCCCTCTCCACCACTCTCTCCTTTTCCCTCTCCACCACTCTCCTTTTCCTCTCCACCACTCTCTCTTTTCCCTTTCTCCTTTCCCTCCCCCACTATCTCCTTTTCCCTCTCCCCCACTCTCTCCTTTTCCCTGTCCCCACTCTCTCCTTTTCCCTCTCTCCCACTCTGACCTTTCACTTCTCCCCCACTCTGTCTCTGTCTCGCTGTATGTATGTCTCTCTCTCTCTCTCTCTCTCTCCCCTCTCTCTCATTCGCTTAGTCACTCACTCACTCACTCTCCCCCTCCCTCCCTCCTCCCTCCTCTCCATCCATCCATCCTTCCATCCATCTCTTCTCTCCTCCCGTGTATAATCCTATCACTTCGTCTCCAATAAGCCGTCTTCCACCTCCGCCCCTTTCTTTCTCCCTCTGCGCGTAATAACAACCCGAGGAATAAGGAATATACCACATCCGTATATATTGCAACGTCTGACTTTAAGAAAAAGCGAACAACCACCTTCAGGGTAGCTACGAGTCATCCGCTCCAGTTGAGTGGCAAAACAGTAAAAAAAACAAGGGAAGTAAACAAGAAGCAGAGAAGAAAAAGAAAAGGAAAATAGTGGCAGCAGAAGAAAAGACGTGAAGAAGAATAGGAGAAAAATAATAATAATAATAAAGGAGTAGCCAGGAGAGAAAGGACCGAGCTCCGCCTATAGTCTCGAGCGCCCTCCCACGTCCTCCTTCATTAGCGGGACCAAGAGAGGCGGGAGAACCGCCCGCGCCCCTCTCGCGCGCGCCGGGATTTCTCGTGAATGGCAAATGACGCGGGACTTTTCCCCTGCAGCCTTCCTCCCTCTGGATCAAAAGGCGGACTCGTGAATGGCGGAGAACAAAAACGACGCCGGCCCGCGTCTTGCCATTACGGGCCGGCCTCGGAAGTGTTCTGTGTGCCGTCTCGAGGAACACATTCTGTCGCGGCTGAGGACGGATGGGGGGGGGGGGGTAATGTTCACAGATTCAAAGCTCTATCGCTGTACATATTACGTACTATCCATTGTGAGAACAGCGATTCGGAGGACTCAGAACTAGAAGAATAACGGTAGAACCTAGCTAAAAAAATACTTCTGCATCTTAGTTCAACCGAAGCACTCAATCGCAGAGCCAAGTATAACTTCAACAGGCACACAGCGGCTGACGCGGAGATCGCAGCTCTGCTTCCTCGCGCCTCATACCGATGTCGAGAGGCGCGACGTCGAACAATGATCAGCGGCCAACAGGTTCTCTTGGCAGACGGCGCCCCATAAAAAGGGGCTTCAAGCACGCCCTCCCCAACAAAATACCCGCCCACGACCTGGAGACACGCCTACAATCCTCTCCAAGCTTCTCAGCTCTTGGTTTCGTGCATTATCGTCTCTCGTTTCCCTTTCTATCTCATATGCCCTTCCGTCCGCTTTAATAATCATCTGCCACAGTTTAACCCTCGCACTCATACCTACACACGTGAACCCTTTCATAATCTGTAGGTATTTGCGCATTCAAATTTATCAAGAACAAGGACAGAGCGTGCATAAACTAAAATGATTGGATTCAACTCAAGTAAACGGAATAGGCACATTCATTTTGTAGACACATCATATGATTATGAGAACGCATGGCAACCAAAGGTATAAATCATGAAAATAAATATATGCAAATCTCCATGCAGTACATGCTCCCTCATGGGTGAGCCAACTATTTGTACAAATCAAGGTATTACAAAATTTAAAGTGAACATTACAGCTACAATCATGTGCGAAGTGGTGCGTAGGGTCCAGCGACCGTCGCAGAGAGAGAGTGCTATGCGAGTGCCACCAAAGTGCCATACCTCAGCCAACACCGCTCATGCCCTATTGATACTGCCCCAGCCTTTTTTATTTTTATTACTCGCGCACTCAAGTTCCCGCAAACTCACACTAACTCCTTAACTCACTAACTCACTTCCTCACACGCCCAATCACTCTGCGTGTTAGCTATATCTGGGCGACCGTAAACGCCTTCCGAACGCTAACAGGTGGTGGCGAAGGGCGGCGGTGGCTGAGGGTGGCCCCAGTGGGGGAGGGTGTAAGGGTGAGAAAGTAGGGAAACGACTTACCCTTCTTGGCCGGGCTCTTCTTGCTGGGCGGCTGAGTTTTGCTGTTGGTCCTGCTGCTGTTGCTGTTGCTGGCCGGAGTGGCCGTTGGCGGAGGGAGCACTGCCCCCGCCCCGCCCTGCTGTCCCGACCATCACCACTCCACCTGCAAGGAACAAACGTCCATTAACATCAGCGGTGCGAAGGTGCATCCTGTCACACCTACGATAAATCTTGTGACACAATAAAATTACCAAAACAATGCCGGACAGTTTCATTCATTTCATTTCCTTTGCGATTCCTTCTCCTCTCGATACGCTTCCTTTAGGTCGCCCTTCGGCCCGAATAATGGAACTGCCATACCCCGCCTTATCTTCACTCATCCGAAAGCCGAGTCTGGCGCAGCCCCGCGGCCTCCCACACAGCCATCCCAGGCGCAGGAACACCCAGAGGCGGGCGAGAGTCGGTTTCCTCCTGCTTTCCTCGCCCGCGCCCTCATCACCTTCCCTCGCCGCCGAGGGCGCCTCCGCCCATCACTCGGAGTGACGAGACATCCTTCGATACAACCCCCCCCCCCCCCGCGTGACCAGGGGCGGACCTGAAGATCCAATACAGCGCTCGAGCGATGTCTGTCACTGCGACTTTTGTTGACGCTCGCTTTGTTATTTCCGCTCCCCTGTGTCCAATTTCCTCACTTCTTCTCATGGCCTCGTTACGGATCCCCGCCCGCGCGCACCTCCTCCTGCGCCCTCGCACGCCCACCCCGTGTCCTTTGGGCCCCGGCAGAAGGAGAGGCCTCTGCGCTTGGCCACTGCGGGGTGAGGGCCATAGGGAGGAGATCGAAAACGGGAGGGAGAAAGGGAGGGCACGCGAGGAGAGAAGCGCAAAAGAGAGAAGAGAAGGGAATAGGGAAGAGAGAACAGAGGAAGGAAAAGAAAAGGGGGATAGCGAAGGAGAATAGCGGATGAAGTCTACAGGGAGAGGGAAGCAGGAGGAGGGGGAACGGAGAGAAGCGGAAAAGAGAGAGGCAAGAGGAGAAGGGAAAGAGAGGCAGCGGTGGGGAGGCAGCGACAACCCTTTTGACCCTTGATATTAAGAGGAGAGGAGAGGCTTTGCGAGGGCGTGTACGGGCGGCCCCATTTCTCGTCTCCACCGGCTCGCACGTTCACACACTCCCCGTGACATCACTCACTGGCGCTGGACAATCAATTTGTGAGAGAGTATTCCCTTTAATGGATGAGTGTCGGGCCGGTGTGCTGTACTAATTTCGGGCGGAGGAACGCCCAGGAGTAATCTACACCGCTGAGCACAGCGCCCACAGCTTTCGCTCTCCCGCCGCCGCGCTTCCAGTCGGCACTGTTGGCCGTGAATGAGAGGCCTCGTGGCCCCCTGATTACCAGTCCTGCGACTCGCCGACTCCGCCTGGCACTACTCAGCGCGGTCTAGTACACGTCCCGGCCTCCCCAACAGCCCAATTCAAAGCAATCAAGAGCTGCCGCTCAGAATCCAAACCAGGCCGTATTGAACTCCCGGCCTAGGCGGGCCCTTCCTACACATCCTCGGTCCCTCCCTTCTCCCCAGAGGATGTCTCACTTCTCACTCTCATCGCCAGCCTCCCTGCTCCACTATGCCACGCAGCGTGCGTGTAGGCTTAGGAACGAGGGCTCCGTGCCACAGGAAACGCGTACTCACACCAAAGAAAGGGAGTCATCTCCACAGCTGGAACCATGCCATATTTATCAGTGTCTGACAAATCAATGTATTAAAGCTGCTGTTTCACGAGAGTCACTGCTTTGAAAGCAGTTATTTAGGCATTGACGAGAGTAAGTGTCATAATTACCAGCATCAATCTCTAGGTTCTCTCTTTCTGAGAAAAACAGCTATTTCACTTACAAAATTCCCTTGCTTTTGCCTTCTGTTCATCTCTTCCCTTCTCTCCCCCACACAAACACCCAGGAACCAAAAAGGGAATAAGGAATTAAAGCAAAGCAATGCTCTAGGGCCCATACAAGCGAGTCTGCAGCTGGACACCATCGGATAAATCTTTTTAATCAATACTGAAACATTGCCATTGTTTATAACGATGCAAAAAACAGTCCAACATTCGACGTACCGCATCATCCTCAACAACTTGATGTCGACACTAAACAAATAAAAAAAATGCGAAAGAAAGAGAAAAAAAATCATACATACACATATAGACAGGCTAAAAAGGATTGAATCCCAGGGGCCGTGGACAGCGAGTCACCAAGAGAACTTCACTCAAACGGGTTCATCCTTACTGGGTCTTTTCACAATCAATCAGAAAGCTTCGTCGCCAGGGCCCCCCTCCCCCCCTCCCCCGGCCTCCCTCGGGCACATCGGAGGGCCTGAGCCTCGCCAGACGCCAGCGCCTTCGACCTCCTCCTTGGAAGACGAGTTCGTCCTGGCGTCTCGCCTCGAAACCACGAGAGCCCCGGAGTCCTCCTCTCGCTTTAATCTCCGAAATGAGACATCCCAGCCGGAGTTCTTTCGCTCGGTGTTTGCCGCGAGATCATTTTTTATCCTCGGGCATCGGAGTCCTGCAGGGGAAGACAGGGAAAAAAAATTTCCCATTTTATAGTGCGCCGCAATATCCGGAGACGTGATAAACATGGCGGAAGCGACACGTCTCTGCATCAAGGCTTCGCTTTTACTCCCCATGCAGTTAATCACACATCACAAACACCTAAAACACGGAAAACACTCAGGCACACAGATACAGACAGACACACAAACACAAGCACGCACGCAAAAATGAGCCAAGGCTCTTAGGCCAGCAATCAAACACCGTCCACCCTGACTCTTGGTTTCAAGGGCGTCTACCTTGGCAGGGGCGGGGAGAAAGAAAGAGGGAAGGAGAAATGGAGACGGAAGGGGTCGTGAAGTCGAGTTTCACCTTCGGCGTGATATATGGCAGGGCAGAAGTGGGATTGGAAGGCGACCTGATACGCGTTCAATAAAATCGAGGAACAAAATCCGTTCCCTTCAGTTCCTTGCCTCCTCCTCCTAAGGAAGTCAAGGTTCAGCGCCCGGCTTTGGCGCTGCCTCTTGCACACGCGGCCCAGTACAACCGCCGCAGTGGGGGAGGGGGAGGGGGGAGGGGGAGGGGTCAACATAACTCGCGCGGGGCTGAGTGTTTCCCTTTAAATGTGAGACGACGGGGACTTTCCCTCCTCCTCCCCCATCAGGCGGTGATACACAACTACTAAACTCGAAGGACGAAAGAGCGATGGCGGGCTGACGGCGGTGGACGCGACAGACCGCCGGTGTCCTTTAAGCCGGAAGCTGACGGACACCTATTGCTCTGAAGACAACAAATGCACTTCGATTGGGGCGCACTTTCAAAAATGTGTTCCTTGGAGGGGAAAGGGGGGGGGGTCAGCGCCTTGGCCTCCCCTGCCTCGTGCTTGCTCAGCAACCTCCACCGACACCAGGCGATGAACAGTGCTACAGATCCTCCGCCGCTAATTGTTACTCCGGCCTGGCACAATGGGCACCGACGGGAGAAATGCGAGTGTGACGCTGCGCTGACACTAATTACGTGGCTGGCCGGGGCCGAGCAGGTGGCTAAAAATCTGACCAAATCTCTCGCCTCGGTGCCAGCGCTAAACGTGCGACAAGTGAGGCCCGTGCAAAGCACCAGCTCGACACTTCGACGAAGTATTTTAATGAGATTTAATAAAATCCTATTATAGGTAAGTCCTCCCAGGACACATCCTTAAAAATGCGAATTTCCAATTAACTCCGATGCTGCAGTCGCAGATGTTTGCAATACAGCCCTGCAACCCGATCGTAAACTGTTATTAGATTTTTTAAGAAAGTAATCTAGTTGAGAGATACGCCATGATGCCGCATCGGGTCGAGCATTCAACCGGGAATTTGATGAAATCGAGCGTCTCGTCTGTGGCCGTCGGCGTCCCCAGAGCGCGCCAACAGGAGGCGCCGTCACTGAAATACTGGCTTCTTCGCAGAGCAATTAGGGCGAGGCAGCCTCGAGTCCTTCTCAGGACGAACATGTATTCCTGTGGGCGACGGGCGGGCGGGCGGGCAGGGCTCTACGCACGGCGTGTCTACAAAGCCGGTGCTGGGGCGCGTCCGACCTACCTGCACCCGGGCCGAATGGCCTCGCCACGCAAATACAGCAGACCTAAAAAACAAAACAAAAACAAAACAAAGAACACAAACAACAACAACAAAACAAAAAGCGAAAAAAAAAGAAAGAATAGAAAAGAATCTAAACAAACACAACCATTTCCTTTCTCTCCTCCTATTTGAACACCCTCTCTCAACTCTCTCCCTCTCACTCACATACAACAGACAGAGATAGATTATTCATCAACATTCAGAGAGACAAGTCGACAGATGACAGATGTTAAGATGTGTTGAAACAAGGCTTATTGTAGCCTTTGTCTACCTTTAGGTTTAGACTTTCTGATACACAGGTTTAGATTACACTGATAAAGACTGGGTTTAGATTCCCTGATACACTGATAAGGAAGTGATACACTGGTTTAGATTCCCTGATACACTGATAAAGAGGTGTCTGGGTTTAGATTCCCTGATACACTGATAAGGAGTGTCTGGGTTTAGATTCCCTGATACACTGATAAGGAGGTGTCTGGGTTTAGATTCCCTGATACACTGATAAAGAGGTGTCTGGTTTAGATTCCCTGATACACTGATAAAGGGTGTCTGGTTAGATTCCCTGATACACTGATAAGGAGGTGTCTGGGTTTAGATTCCCTGATACACTGATATAAAGAGGTGTCTGGGTTTAGATTCCCTGATACACTGATAAAGAGGTGTCTGGGTTTAGATTCCCTGATACACTGATAAAGAGGTGTCTGGGTTTAGATGATACACTGATGTGTCTGGGTTTAGATTCCCTGATACACTGATAAGGAGGTGTCTGGTTTAGATTCCCACTGATAAGATAGATTCTGATACACTGATAAGGAGGTGTCTGGGTTTAGATTCCCTGATACACTGATAAGGAAATGTTTGGGTTTAGATTCCCTGACTGAAAGGAGGTGTCGGGTTTAGATTCCCTGATACATGATAAAGAGGTTAGATTCCCTGATACACTGATAAAGAGGTGTATATGTGTGGTTTTAAGGTTTCTTGATA